TTGATAATGCATCCACTTGCTCTTTGGTTGGCACCTAAATGAAGTGAGGGAAGAAAGAAAAGTATATCTGCCTTTAAATCATCAAAGAGATGAGAGGATCTCAAAAAACAATACTTGGGGGAGGCTGAAAGATTAGTCAACTACAAAGCGGTGCTGATTCTATGGAGGTGTATACAAAATATTTCAGCATGGTCTAACATAACATACAAGTCAAAGCATAATATTAACTGAAAATAAAGACATGAGCAAATGCATTGGGACAGCAAAGCAAACTACCTTTCCTGTTAGAAGAAGCCAAAGGAGACCCTCGGGCAATGGTTCTCCAGCAGGCTTTGCTGCTGGTAACAACTTTTGACACTCCGGAATAGATAAACCCCGGAAGCGAATACCCTAAGAAAACAAGTAAAATGACAGAGAGAAGTAACTATATTTAAAGTCTATCATCATGGAGTATGTAACCATAATCTGCATGGGTATTTTACACTCCTAAAGTATGCCAAAGCGTGTGTACCTCTTCTGCATCAAGAAGTGAGGTTTCCCACAATAATCCTGTCATGCCTCTCATCCCACCAAGTACCTGTTAAAAATGTTCCAACAAATCAATCAGTACCGGAGTTGTCAATTTCTCCAAAATCAAAGAAAAATCTCCCAAGGAAGCATAAAAACAACAGAAAATCGTACCATATCAACGGTGATGTTACCCAGCTGAACCTTTCCATGTTCTGATTTAAGTTTCTTTAGGCGCTCCTGCGATAAATAAATATAGACTGCAGTTAACACCAACGAACAAAAAATCCTATATGTAAGCAACCGGTTAAGCGTAACTCTTATACTATACCGGTAGGTAACCAAATCTATTAGTTTAGCATAGTAAATTTACCTGCTGTTCTGGAATCAATTCCTTTAGCTGAGAATGAAGGTCCTACAGATGAGTCGATAGTACAATCACATCAGCAAATATCAAATTAGTTGCTTTAAGAACAAGAAAAAATTGGATACCGAAGCAAGCAACCATCATAAGTATATCAAGAATTATTAATTTGGAAAAGAACAGAATCAGTATTCTGCATTCGGTAGGCAATATTTGGGTCCCACATCCATATCTAACCAATCTCTTGAGCCTCGAAATTAGGTCAATTTTTCCGAATTTTAGGTAAAAATTCAAATTTTGCTGTCTACACAAATCACCACTCCATTCTTCTTCGCGAAAAAGTTAGTTATTACCTTACATTAGTTTTCTAAAGCTAAGAACCTGACATTCTGTATGTTATGAAACTGAACCTCCTTCTAAATGTCATTTAAGATTTAGAGAAGACAAAATACTTGATACTTAATAAGTTAGTATTCTTAACATGAGACTGGCAAATAAAAATTGAAAAACGGTAATGATTCATGTATAAATTGGAAAAATTTCTTCTGTTCCCCGTATCCCTACCCTATCCCTTCTTGTGTTGTCGTTATTAGACAGGGAAATACAATTTTCTTAAGTTTTGTTTGTCTGTTACTATAATCGAGTGAAGGTTAGTATCATGTTTGACAACAATATATATATCAGAAAATACACTTTCATGATCATTTATAACTTTTTTTTTCCTATTCATTTCTTCGAGGACTGTGGAAAGGAGCCATTAAAGCTTAATATTGAAATTAACAAAGCTCTGATGACTACCATATCTTTCCAATCTATCCGAGCTAAAAAAATCAGACGATGCATAGAAGGCTTACAACGTCGGAGGAGGTCTGGACTTGAAGCCAGCGGACTGAATTGCGAAGACCTGGCTGTTGAACCTATTACAAAACAGAATCCAGGGTTTAAGAAAATAGAGAAACAAAACGAAATCAAACGAAACCAATTTTTCGTCATCTTATCATTTGATCCAAATTAACACAATTGAAACAAATACATAGCAGCCGATTTTCCAGAAAGATATATTAAAAAAAATACTCACAGCGCCGGAACGCAGCTTGGATAATAGAGAAACGCTCTTATGGAACACCATTGCTCACGGAAACCAAATTTTTTTTCACTGCAACACAAAATTAATTCCAAACAATCAAATCATGTAACATAAACACGTAGTAGCGCATTTCTACTACGATTTTCAGCAGATCAACAACATAATATATAAAAAAAATCAAAATCAATAAACCGAAAATCATAAACGAAAGAGGAGCGGAAATTCAACCACGAATAGCTCGAATTACATAAAAAAAAAATTGAATTGCAACAAACTGGAAAATGCTTACGAGAGTGGAGAGAGATCGTGTTATTCGCGAATGAAGAATCGTACCGAAGGAGGCTTCCTTTTAGATCGATGGTGGCTGGCGTCTCGCGAGTTTGGAAAGTCGGGGAAATAAAATTCAAGAGCTGTTTTATTTTATTTTTTTTAATTGTTTTTTCATGGATTCTTCGGCTTTCTGGTGAGCGCACTTTATTTATTTATTTTTTTATTTATAATAATTGTGACACGTTCGAATTTCAGCTTTTTCACACTATAGGTAGCCAAATCCAATTTTGAGATTTCTTGAGAAAAAAGAAAATAGAATAGGTCAATTACATTTTGGGAAAATTACTAAATAAAACCAGTGCAGTCAATATTGTGGTATATAGCGAGACGTAAATATCGCTCGATACTGTGATGAGATACGATATACAATACGATTCGATATGATCATTACAATATTTGTTTTGAGGATGATGTGTGCGACTTTCAGCACATTTACGGGTGATTTGTGCGATTTTAGCATATTTATGGATAATTTGTATAATTCTCAACACATGTAGCGGTGATTTGTGCGATTTTCAACATTGTAGGGTAATTTGTGCGATTTTCAGCATATTTGGGGTGATTTGTGCAATTTTGAGCACATTTTATTTACACAAGTCGTATTTGTTTTTTTTTTTTAACTAAGGAAAAACCACAAAAAAAACTTCAAATAAAAGCAATTTATATTAGTAAATGTAATAGAACTGCTAGGATTTCTAAAAACATAGGGGATGTTTGTTTTTATTTCCAAAACTCATTTCCAGTTTTATACTATTCATAAAACCGAGATCATGTTTGTTTGATAATTTTATCCATAAAATCCCTTTTTTTTTTTATCAAATTTCTATTGAAAATACACTATTCATACTTTTTTCAATTTTCAAACATACTAAAACCTACTAACTAACCTATATATTTTATTTCACCAACTCATTTCTCTCTCCTCATTAATACTATTTCCTCCCAATTTCTCTTTCTTCTAATAATCATAATAATAATAATAATAATAATAATAATAATAATAATAATAATAATAATAATAATCCTCAATCATTATATTCTACTTTTGCACGTACTTTCGTAAAGAAAATTCACCACAACCAAACATATTCCAATTTCTACACCTACATAAAACTAAAAATACCACTTCATCCATACATATTCTCATTTTCTACACAAAAACCAATAATCCACTTTTTCCATCAGAAATTTTGAAAACTAGAAATTCCCATTGGAAACATAACCAAACATCCCCTATGATTTCAAATCAATAATTTAATGTTGAAACTTGAATTTAGATTTATTTTAAATGAATAGTTTGACTTTAAAATATTACTTTTTACATTTTTATTGTATTATGATTATGTGATACATATTTTATACTATTTTTAATAGTTAATCAAATATCTTACGATACGATACGATAATGATAGGGGACCTCATGTGGAGGAAAACGATACGCCAACATATTTCGATATGATAACCATGAATAAAACATTGTCCCAAACAAATCAAGTCGAATCGAATATATGATTGTCCGAGTTGGTTTATAGTATTAACTGAGTTTCAAAACTATAGTCAACTATTAAGCAAGGACACGGAAACGGGGTCATGGAAAAATGGAGAAACGGCATATCCAAACAATAGGGATACAAAAACTTTAGGGAAATATATAAATATTAAAAGTACAGGGGTATTTTTATAAATATGTTGTATAAACATATCTAAAAAAATTATATATATTTTTTTTGTATTCCCATTTACAAATATTATTATCAACTATTAGATTGCAATTAATCATTAAATTATGTAATTAATTAGGGAAGCACCAAAATATTTGAAAATTTATAATCCAAACACGTTTCAAACTTTTCAAAAATTACAAAATGTCCCTGACAAGAAACACGCGTTAGATGGTTGCCCGTGGATCTTGGAGAGGTTCGCGCTTCTGTTCCATGAACTTGCAGCGAACGAGATAGCAAGGGAGGTTGAGATGAACATGATGAGCATCGTAGTCCGTTTCCACCAAATTCCCGGCTAGCCAACGAAAGTCGAGGGTGGCACAACAAGTGATGAGTAAAATTGGAATTTTTTATACAATTGCTCGACGACAAATATCTAGACAAATTCCGACGATCCTGGCGATAACCTCCCATATGCTTATTCTGGAATTGTCAAGATCTCGGGTGCCCTTGACAATTCATACGCTTGGAGATATGTTTCGTCTCCATAACCCCAAATTGATGTTCCTTTCGTAAACATTAACTTGAGGGGTAAATATAACTAAGTTTACAAACTAGAGGATTATCTTGTAATTTGGTATAACCTAAGTGGGTTGTTTGTAATTCGGCACAATTATTACTGGGAATTTACAAAAAAAAAAATAAAAAAAAAAAAATTGTAAATATATCCATATACAAACCATACATCTATTGAGCAAGTAATGAAAATCATCTAATTTCCATCCATTACTTGAAATTAAACCAAACATACATAAATAAATATACATCTCTCACTCTCTCAATCATTTCTCTAAAGGAGAAAACAAAGCCAAGCATATAAAAACAACTAAGCCTTTTCAAGAAACCAAAAAAGAAAATCAAGAAAAATAATTATTACAAAAAAAATTAATGAAATATTTATAGATAGCTAAAAAGTTAATTAAAGCAACCCTTAATTTCTAGCACACAATTCACAATTAAATTTTGCTCCGATCTTACGAACGTAAGACGACTAGCAAAGAGGCAAGTGATTTCCGAAGGCATTGATATTTGATGTCGAAGACGCTCTGAACGTAAGTAGAGGAAATTCGTGGTTCACATCATGCATGAATATTCCTTCTCCGAGAAAATTCAAAAACGAATTCGGATTATTATTGTTGTTGTTATTGTTATTATGATCTGATGAAGATACCCCTTGTTCTTGTTCTTCACATGAGATGTACTCTCTTTTCATCAATATTCGACTCTGAGGAATATTCTGCGGTTTGGGCGGCGGATGTTTGTCTGCCGCTCCAGATTTGGATGAAATGACATTTTTGCCCTTGACGACCATTTTCATTGATGATGGTGATCTTTTTTCCAAGGGTTTACCTGTTAGCTTCTGCACGAGGTCGCGGAAGCTTCCGACGTCGGTTTTAATGATTTCCGGTGCGACTATGTGGATTATTCGTATGATCGGCTTCTGCTTCGATATTACGTGAGAGCCGTTTTGAATGGCCAATTTCTGCGCAGATAATGTTGTTCCAATACTGCATGACTGTCCCTTCATACTTCTCTTTAATTTCTTCTTTTTTTTCTTTTCAAGAAACTAATTGAGAGAGAGAGAGAGAGAGAGAGAGAGAGAGAGAGAGAGAGAGTTGGTGGTTGTGTATTTGTGTTAGAACATTTATATATATGGTGTAAGAATTCAGGAAGTCCAAATATGGAATATATGGCAAAAAGTATGCCTTTTGGGAGAGATGATAAGATGGGATTAAATAGTATATTCTTGTGTAACAACCCTACTATATGTTTTCTGCTTAATTATCCATGATCAAGACTTATGTAACATGGATTATAAATAAATAAATAAATAAAATTTCATAAGAATGATGTGTACCTTATGGTTTACTTGTGTAATAAAAAAGAGCGGTAAATTACAAAAAAAACCCTTATCTTTGAATAATTGCAATTACCTCATTAGCTATGAATCTTCTTACACGTTCATCTTTACGGTGTCAAATTTAGTGGAATGTTCTAGATTATGTGGAATATTCTCCAGTTTGTATTCGTTTTACCCCATTCCACCTCCACATTTTGAAACAAGATGATGGTGAAATGTGTACATTTTTACACAAAACGAGTACGAGTTAGAGAACATTCCACGGAATCTAAAAGATTATGTTGAAATTTAACACCGTAAAATTGGACGTGTAAGAAGATTTATAGTTGATAGGTGGTTGTAACTATTCAAACAAAAGGGTTTTTTCGTAATTTAACTTTATGTTGCCCATTAGAAGAAAAAAAAAGTCATACAAGCATGCATAATTTTCAGATTAATTACTTTAGTTTTGAACCTGGACAACAGTTTTTGCTGATGTTATTTGAATGATATGAATTAATTAGAAGATCAATTTATATGAGTTGACTTTTCTTATAGCTTCCTACCCGCATGATTACCCTTTATTTTATTTTATATATAAAAATAATATTTTTTATTTGAAGTCAAACCATTTGAAAATACAGGCAACTTGTGAGTTGTGAGATATATAAGCTGGCTTCCAACCAGGATTCGGAATTTTCATTGAATTTGCTGCACCGTTGACTTTATTCTAAATTAAACAATTTAGTTCATTTGAGATTAAATTTAATATAATTTTTGTATAAAGTGTTGTTGGTTACACGTTTCTTGTTCATGTTGATGACATTCTGCAGCAGCAGCATAGAGTTTTCTGATGTTGATGTGGGATAGTGATTTATTGCAAATTCAATTCATCAAATTGATAAATACATTATTCAATTCCTCCTTGCTTTCACGTAGTTCCGATCCGGGGTTGGATCTATCGAAAGTCGAAACTAGTGTTTTGGGGACATGTTTTGTTTGTACGATAACGGTTCAAGAAATGTTTGTTCTATGACGAAACATATCGAATAACATCTTATTTTATAAATATATATTGTAACTATTTTTTAAATTTTGTGAGAAATATTTTTTTAAGAGAAATAATTGGTGAGAAACTAGCCAAATTATTTCATGCAACTATACCACCAAAGTCGAAAACAACAAATTAATTGCATCCTAAGAAAAGATCGGAAATGATTTTTTCGGAAAGTTTCCAGAAGAAAAAAAAGATTGTGGAAGTAAAAAATATTCAAATTTTCGTTCCAAAAAAATCGGAAATTTCGAAATTCCATTCCAATTTTTACAAGTATGTTACAACAATAATGTTCTAATCTAATTATAGCAATAAACATTAAACCAAAAAATGGAAAGTGGGACACCGTAAATGCCCCCATAATCTTCGGAACTTTACTATAGTAATACATCCCAATTAAGAAATATAAAAAGTTTTTATTTGACAAAACTACCCCTTTGTGTTTTCCAACTTCTCTTTATTAATGCTTTAATGATTAATCTATCATTATTCATTAATGTTGGAGTAGAACTGGAGAAAAATAAATTGTCCTTCATTAAAATTTTAAAGTGACAGTTAATATGGAAATAATAAAATGTGACCAAAAAGACACTTAAAAAGAAACGGGGAGTATAATTTTTCCTAGGGTTTTGGATTTGGAGGCAATTAATGCAGAAAAGTTCAATCAACTACGAAAAAATCCATCATTTTTAAGAAATTACATTCAATCCCCTACAATTCGTAATTTTTTTACAAAAGGCTGTTAATGTAAGAAATTTACAAATTGAAGGGGGTGGAGGGTTTTTTTGTAAATAAATATTATTTTCAGGGGATTGTAATTTACCCAAATTTTAATCCCAATGATTTTGATAACACCATTGGTCCATTATGTTGATCAAGTGCGTATTGTTTAGGAGGGCTTTGTAGTGACTTTTAGACCCAATAATATTTGAGTCCATTATAAATGGCTTTTGGAGTCTAAATGGAAGTGAAATTTTAGCTTAATGTTTTACGACACTTTTAAAAGTAGTTTTTAAAACTACATCAAATCACAAATCAATTCCCTATAAATAGAAAATGAAAAATTATTCCCAAAACAAGAATATTAAAAATAAAAAATAGGGTAAATTATGGTCAACTCCATGAGAGAAGATTAAATTATAAAAAAAATCCCTTTTGTTTGGGTAATTGCAACCACCCCCTTCAATTATAAATATTTTACACGTCTAACCTTATGGTGTCAAATTCAACATAACATTCTAGATCTCGTGAAATGATCTCTAGTTTGTAATCGTTTTGTATAAAATTGCAGTTTATGATGCACCACAATCTGATGTTTAGAAGCCAAGAGACACATCTTACTATCATCTTGTTTCAAAATGTGGAGCTCGATGGGGTAAAACGGGTACAAACTGGAGAATATTCGACATAATCTAGAATATTCCACTAAATTTGACACCACAAAATTGGGCGTGTAAAAAGTTTCATAGTTAAAAGAGTGTGATTGTAATTACTCAAACGTGAGGGATTTTTTCATAATTAGACATTGTCTCAGGGGCTGACCATAATTTACCCTAAAAATAATTCCAGCATTGGATTATCAAGAAATTAAACATCGGCATCTGCCTCAAATTTATAGTCCTTCGTTGTCATTTTTATTGCTTTTAGTTAAAGGTTATGCACCCTAAGAAACTTATAATTAGTGCAACATTTATTTTAACAAAAAAATTAATTAAAGAAACATTCAGTCAATCATATAAGTGTACTGAGCAAATCTACACTTTTGTTAGTAGCATACAAAACATACGAGAGACGTAAACGACACTAGCTGTGACATCTTTAACCTAACGATCTTTGACAAATGGATTTGAACTTGAGTCAATTGACACAAGTTCACTTGCTCCAACCGAGTTGATAGTAGGGTAATGAGTAAATGTAAAATTGGTAAAAGAATTATTAATAGTACATTAAACTCCTAAAATAATAATATTATTAATTATAATTCTATTCATATTATTAATTCAATATAAAATATAAATGACATATAAAAGAGTAAATTAAAAAGGTCCACTTATTTATAATAAACCAAATACAAAGAATAAAAGAATAATTTATGAAATTATACATCATGCAAGCAACTGCCACATATAATTTATTTATTTTTAAATACAGAAAAAAAAAAAAAATCAAAAGCCAGAGAAAACCTAAAAAATCACGACGAATAATAAATGATCGCGGCGGCGGCGATAGCCGATACATGAACCCTAATCTCTCCTGCTGAAGGAGCGGAGGAAGCCCCTGGGAGAGGGAGAGGACTCGCCGCCGGCCGGAATATCAGAGAGAGCGGCGGCCCAGCGGCGGATGCTGAGAGTACGGGCGGTCTTGAAGCTGTGGGATCTCTGAGTCTTGGAGAAAACGTTTGACGATTGTGAGAGGATCAGATAAACCAGTCCTTGTACGAGGATGAAGAGCGCGATCTTCATCAACGTACTGATTTCTAAGCTGCTTTCGATCATTTCCATGGCGGCGGTTTACTGTAATTTCTTCTGTAAATTAATTAACTGGAGAAATTTTTTTTTTTTTTTTTTTTTTTTTTTTTTGAGATGAGAAGAGTCAATAAATTGAGGGGAGGATGTAAAGTTGTGTGTATGTATGGATCTTTAGTTTGTTGATGAATTTTGTGATCATTTATGTGGTGTATATATATATATATATAGGTGTGTGTATATGTGATGAGAGAGAAAGAAGAGAGAGAGAGAGGGGAAGGAGAAGTGGAGTTTCCAGGACGGCATCTTTGACTTGGCTTATCGTAGAGGCTGCATGGTGGTGGATAATATTCAAGAATCGTGCTTCTAAAAGCACGTGTTTTTTAACCGTATTATTATTATTATTATTATTATTATTATTATTATTATTATTATTATTATTATTATTATTATTATTATTATTATTATTATTATTATATTCAATTTAAATTTCGTTATTCAAAAAATATGTAATTAACACATTTGACGAAAATAAGGGTTTTATTTATTTTTACTGCAAATATATTACGCTCCGTTTTAAAATAAGTTTTAAGTTTGAATAATAATTAGTGCATGTGCACGTATTAAAAAAATTAATTAATATGCATGAATTTTAGAAAAATTAGTATTGTGACTAAAATGCATGCCCTTATGAGGAGAATTTTGCTTCTCACAAGAGCAAAATTGGAAACTTAAATAATATAATAATAAAATTATCCAAAGCGACAGTTAATTTAACTACTACACATCTCCGAAATATATATCAGTTATTAATTATTATATAAAATTCAAATCCAAAATTTTGAAATATTGAAGTCCTATATACACCACATATATACTAATTAAGGTCTTCAATTAGATCCAAAAGTTAGCCAAATTAATAAATCGAACATTTTGTTACTTTTAATTTACGCATAATCACGCCCATGTAATGTAAATCTAAGTAAAATATACAATGAAACTATGCAGGTACGTATAAAGTAGAATATAATTCGATGAAATTCATCATATGTAGTATAGAACAAACATGTTGTGGCTTGAATTGAGCTTTATTTTAAAAAAAACTAGTAATTGTACCCGTGCGATGCACGAGACAACAAATTGCATTGTTTTGATGTTGTAAGAATATAAACAAAAGTTTGATGTATCGTATGATCAAAATTCTATTATACTGGAACATCATTAAGTATACTACACACAAAAAAAGGAAATAACTTTACTATTGAATAATTTTCCAAATGAATTGAATCAGCTAATACCAGTAGATTGAAAATTTGAACCAGGAAAAAAATCATCAACTATGTCTTTCATGTTGAGCTTAAAAGTAATTAGATTTAATAACTTAGTTAACATAATCAAAACTAAACTATCGACAACATAAAAGGCCATCTATACATCTTGCATCGGAACTAAGCCCTTCTCCACTGCCTCATTTTCAGGCTGTTTTGCCACTGGAATTAACAATTGGAAAATTAAGAAACAAAAATAAATATAAACAATAAATTAAATATCGCATACAAACAATAAGTCTTGAAGGTCGACTTCCAATAGCTTGTGGCTCCGCCCATTTTTGGTTAATTCTCTCAAATCATCCATTTCAATAACATGTCCGATAACATATAAAATGAAATAATTGTTATACATAAAATTTGAAAACTTTGGTATAAATTAATGAAACACATAATTTAACAAAATGAAATTACCTATAAGCCATGATGGAAAAAGATGTAAACTAATTGCCACACAGTCAATAGGATGAAGAAGATAAAAAACAAAATCTAAAGTCGGGTTACCAAAAGAAGAAGCCTTAGGTAGGGAAGAAATAAAATTCAAATGTTGCAGACATTATGTAAAACGATGTCACAAAATTCGCTAGGGATGAAAATCAGATTTATTTACCCTTTTCTGTAAAAATCGAAAATCAGATTATTATAAATAATATCTAGGAGAATTTGATGAAAATCGATAATAATATTTAAAATAATATTTAGGAGATATAAATTTGATAAAAAAATCAAAAAATAATATTTAGGAGATAAAAATCTGATTAAAATCGAAAATAATATTTCAAATAATGTTAATGAGATAAAAGTTGATAAAATACGAAAATAATAATTAGAATAATATTTAGGAGATAAAATATGATTAAAATCAAAATTATTATTTAAAATAATATTTAGGAGATAAAAATTTGATAAAAATCGAAAATAATGTTTAGGAGACAATAATCTGATAAAAAACAAAATTAATATTTAGGAGATAAAAAACTAATAAAAACGTGATAAAACTCGAAAAAAATATTTAAAATATTATTTAGGAGATATAACTTTGATAAAATTCGAAAATAATATTTAGGAGATAAAAATCTGCTAAAAGTTGAAAATTATATTTAAAATTATAGTTAGGAGATATAAAATTGATAAAATTAAAAAAATATTATTTATAATAATATTTAGGAGATAAAAATTTGATAAAAATAAAAAATAATATTTAGGAGACAAAAATCTGATAAAAATAAAAAATAATATTTAAAATAATATTTAGGGGATACAAATATGATAAAATTCGAAAATAATATTTAAAATAATATTAAGGAGATAAAAATTTGATTAAAATTGAAAAAAATTACAAATATGACATTAGGGTTTCTTAGGGTTGCCTAGCGTTTCTTTCTTTTATATATAAGATGTGTTCTATTTAATTATTTTAATACATATAATTAGTGACACATGTTATCCGTGAGTTTGTTATATATTTTTTTTCCTAACTTGAGATGAGTAAATGTCAAAATTAAATCCTTTTTTTATTTATTTATATTCTTTTTATTTGGATATAAAGTTTGTTTCTTGCAAGAAAACGCAAGTGCAGTAGTAGAACAAAGAACTTTCTATCCATAATTCCTGATAATTGAATATTATGAAATTCTTTTTAGATGGAAGGAATAATCCTCTGTGGCTGAGGTCCACCTAATCCATACGTGTTGACATAAGATAAGCTCAACTTTCTTTTTTAATAATATATAGAATAGAATAATAAAAGCTAATGTAAGAACAAAATGTTTGACTATGATTTGTTGACAAGGAATTCGTGTAGTGTAGGAAGATTATTGGAAATTTACTTATTACCTTAATTAATTAGAGTTGTTGGTTGGCCCTAATTAAAACTATACTAACTAATTTTATTTTATTTGGATAATAAGATTTAATTACACCACAAATTGTTGTAGTTTTCCCGCCGCCTTTCGTCATCATTATTATTATTATGTTTAATTATTTTTTTTCTTAAATAATAATAATAATAATATAATTTGTATGTACTCCATTTTGCCTTGTACTCAACATCTTTTTAATGTGTACAAATAATTGCAACCTAAATTTAACTTACACCTTTTTAATGTGTACAAATAATGGCAACCTAAAATTAACTTTATCTTTTCTTCCGGTTATTAATGTAACTGAAATTTGTTTAATACTAAAAATAAAATAAAAAAATACGATGAAACTGGAAAAACGTTAGTCGAACCGCCGGTTAATCCGTTACAATGTATAGTGATGATTTCATCATTGATGATTGAATAGCTTGACATACACCTCAACCGGTCTTTCGTCTCTATACTGACGAAGGGTAAATTGGTCTTTTGCTAGGGATTCATAGTTCACGTTGTAAAGTTTGGGTTCGAAATTAAATCTATTTCGGTATATTGTTTAGGTCCCTTCGCTTAACATATCATTTTTTAGTTTTAGAAAACTAACATCAATTCGCAAATATGTAATGTTACGATTCTGTTAATTTATTATAAGATCACGAGTTCTGCTAAATTCTTACTTTGATTCAACTATGCCGGATTCGGTGCTTTTTTTGTATTTTCACATCTAAATTAAGTTTTATTAGGACTTTATTACTTTTATACATTATAAATATAGTCGTTTTTTAATTTTATTTTTTAGCAGATAAAATGTTATAAATTACATAATTTCGACAAAGCAGCTATTAAATGAGTTACTTGGTTTGCCTTATAATTTACTCTTTGGCCTCTTTTGGTTTCATTGTGGGATCGATTCAAATCCCAGGACTATTCCCATCAATGAGGGGGATTTTTATAATTACAGAAATACGAGGGGGTTTTCGTAATAAAATATTATTTTAGGGGGGTTTCGTAATTTACCATAATTAAAAGGAAGAGTTGTAAAATTTGGTACCGTACATCTGTATATATTGGGCCATGAGTCGAAGTTCAATGGGCCGAGAAAAGCATTAAAGGGCCATGAAGTGAAGGCCCAATGTGGATGGAATTTTAACCCCCTATAAGTTTATTTCATTGGTATGTGACTTTTGCTCTCTTTAATTTTTATTTATTTTTTTATTTTTTTCTTGTGTTCAATAAGTTAAATTCTAGCTCATAAAGTAAAATATATAGAGCCACAAAATATTGATAAACAAAATATAATAAAGCCATATAATTTAATAAAATACTATTCATTTGTTAATTTTTAGGGTAAATTACAAAAACCCCCCTGAGGTATGGTCAAATTACAAAAAACCCCCTCTTGTTTGGATAATTACATCTACCCCCCTCAACTATGATTTTTTCTTACCTTTATGGTGCCAAATTCAACATAGTCATCTAGATTCCGTGAAATGTGCTCTAGTTTGTACTCTTTGTGTAAAAAATACAGTTTCCGATGCACCACAAACTGATATATACAAGCTAAAATCCACATATTATGGTCATCTTGCTTCATAATGTAGAGTTTGAATGGGATAAAACGGGTACAAAAGTGATAATATTCCATATAATCTCGAAGATTCCACTAAATTTGATGAGTTGAGGGGGGTGGTTGTAATTATCCAAACAAGAGGGGTGTTTTTGTAATTTGGTCATACCTCAGGGGGGTGTTTGTAATTTACCCTAATTTTTATATATATTGATGGAGCAATATTTGCACGCTAAAGACCTCCTTCCAAATCCAACTATTTCGTTCGTCATAAAGTATGTCCAGCACCGGTATTTGGCTGGCGAAGACGAACTAATCGTTCCGAAAAAGATAAAAGCAAGAGAGAAAATTCAGAAAAGAAGTGTATCGTTGATGATTCGATCGTTGTGATTGTGTTTTCTAATATGGTTTGGCACGTTAGTTTATATAGAGAATCGTGTGTGACTATTTCCTATTTTATAACCTCTTTGTTGGTCGACATTTACATTGATTGCTCAATTGCTAATTCTAATTTACATATTTTTATTATTTATTTTGGGAAAATATATTGAATTCTATTCTTCCAACGATTCTCCTTCAGCTCGTTATCTACCCCCACCATCGTCTCTTACATGTTCAGATAAGCTGTCGAGCTCGCTACCCTCATATCCCAAAGGGCATTGTTTAGCGATTTTGATACTAACGAGCTTTCTTCGGACGAGCTTCTTAAAAGACCCTATTTTTTACACGTATTCGATTGGTGAGACCAATAAATCTCTTTCAGCCCATACATTCTGTCATTTTATTATTACATTCTGTCATTTTATTATTTAATAATAAGCCCAATATTAGAGGTTTGGTCTAACTTTAACAAACTACCCAATCATATATAAACCACTTTTCACCATTTGTCATATGATTCTCTTTTACACACTAATTATAGAAATGGTTGCACACTTTGCACTTGTGAGTTGTGACAATTCAAACATTTTTTTGTTTTTAATCTTAAATTACACCATTATGAGTCGTCGCTTGTACTATATTACTATATTAAATTACTATCTTTAGACAAATATTGTTGCAATGAAACCCACTACTTATAGATGGTCCTAATATTTATTATATCCACATTAAATATTCAAATAGGACTAGATCATTGCCAATATTATTCAATTTTCAAAGGGGGGTTTCACTATTTACAGTGCATTTTTTTCCAACTGCAGTGTGTTATAATTCATTTATTGAAAAACCTTGTAAATTGTGATTCTTTTATAATAATATCAATTTAAACACAACAATTGTCAATATGGACGATACCAATTCTAATTCTAAGATAAAAAAGCACGCTATGTCGAAAAGTTGTAAACAAAATAAAGTCGCACTGCGAGCTAGTAAAACTTGCACTACGAACAACATTTCAAAATTTTAAATTATATCATCTATGTAGGTCCCATCATCAATAAGACTTTATAATTAAAATTTATACAAACAAACCAAATACTATTAATCATACAAAAACATTATCAAAAATAATTTTGTATAAGTTGTTAAGTAATTAAATTATTATGTAAAAATATATTTTAAAAATAATACTTATTTCGGTTTTATCCAACAAATAATTGAGGTGCCAAAATAAGTGAAAATAAATAGATATACCAAATATATTAATAAAAAAATATGTTTTTTTAAATTAAAAAAAGAAAAAGAAAAATCTGGTTTCTAAACATGTGGACAAAAATTAAATAAAAATAGCAGATGAGCATAATTTTGATCGTCTCTCTCTCATCTCTCTCTCTCTATGCTCTCTTCCTCGGTTCCACCATCCCCCTCTCCGTTCGCGAGCTTTCTCTCTCCTCTGTATTTACATACAATTCATTACAATTTATCATCCAACCAATCCACAGCGCCCCCAATCGTGTCCTGGGGCTAATTAATTCTTCCCGAGCGGCCATTTTTTGAACATAGGAAAGCGGCGTCGTATTGAAAGAGACCGGCGGATCTGTAATAAATCGGAAATTAGAGAAAAGATGAGCGCGGATCTGGTGGCTGCGAGCACAAATGGGAATCTGGACGAGCAGATTGCTCAGCTCATGCAGTGCAAACCCTTGTCGGAGCCTGAGGTTTTTTTTTTATTATTGTTTTTCGTTTTTTTTTTATTGGTGTGTGTTTTGACAGATCTGATAGATGTGGTTGATTTCTTGTTCTGTGTGTATGAAAATATAATGGATTGTTGAGAATCTTGTTCTGTTAAGAAGTTTTATGGGCTGCATTTGGTACATATTTGTGGTGTTTCATTTGGTTGAAGGAATCTTAAAGAAATTTGAAAAAATTAGGAGCTTGAGAGATAAAAGTAATAAGTTTTGTTTATGGTTGGGAGGTGGGGGGATTGGAAAATGTTTCCCTATAAAATTTGTCTATTCGATTTAAGAAACTGAAGTGAGATTTGGTGAGTTTTGTTGGGGTAAAATGTGTGGGATTCGGAATAGACAAGCATTGATTAAAGACGTAGTAGAGAAAAATGATTGAGAGGAATAAAGGGAAAACATCAATTTTCAAAATGTATAGCTTACATATTCTATCTTAAAACGGATGTTCTTGTATTTTGTACCATTTTGAGAATTTATGCATATCAGTTATGTTTACATGCGCAGTCCATTATACTTCCGTTGGTAGGTGATTAATGCAGGTTACAAACTCGAGAGAACGCCTAAGTTTTAGCTTTTTAGGCATTAGTCTGTAAGTTTAGTTATTATCTTCCTTTTTTCCTTCTCTTCGTTTATTACTATTATATAAAATAGTGTACTAGCTTAATCACGCTGGATTATAGTGTAGACAATCGTG